AGGATTGAGTTGTATTATTTGTTCAGAAATATATTCTATTCTTCCAGAGTTAGAACACACAGGGCCATTTGGCATTTCTCAGCACTAGGGAATATGCAAGTCCAATCTGCCTGGCTGAATTTTTGAAGCTTCTACTGGTATTACTTAAGCACTCAGTCAAACATCTGAAGTTCTGTAGGTGTACCTTCACTGAACAGACATGTAGCAAGGGTCGAAGATACAGGGTTAGTGCTTGAATTGGGAAAAGGCATTGGTTGCAGCCAAGTGCATTGCTGACAACCATAGGTTTATACTGTATGAGCAGGTTAAACTGTGATGAAAGTAATAAATATGATCTATTCATGCAAGGTGCACTTGTCTGTCGTTAACCTTGGTATCTTTTTGCATAAGTAATGATTAGTAACGTGAGCCTCTATAATAACTTCTTTAAAAGTGACAGGGTGTGAACGTTTGGCTTCCAAGTAACATTACACATGGGTGGTTGCAAGTAAAAGTAGTGCTCGTTATAGACACAAACTGATTTCTTAAAAATCAGAAATCTTTCCTCATCCCTCCCATTTATTGACACTTGCCTGATTTTGTGCCCCTTATTAGTCACAAATATTTAAGCATTTACTTTTTTCCCACAGCCATAAGAGGTAATAAGTTTTTGAAAAAATTAAGTCAAAAATTTCTCATTAAAAGTGTTCAGAGCAATTAAACTCTACCATTAACCTACATAGGTATTGGAGACCCCTTTCAGTTGTTGTAGGAACCTTAATTCTGCCCTCTGTGACCTTGCCTACTCTCCGTCAGTATGTCCCAATGATTGAACACTGTACAACAGTTAGTCTGTCCTGACACATTGTCTTGAAATGTCCATATTTTAGAGCTTGACATGGAATCTTAGCACCATATTTCTATAGGTCTCTAATGCTATGACACAGAAAAGCTCTATAAAACTATATACTAGTGGACTTGCGGGTTGCTTACATATTCTGTTTTTAGGTGGTCATTTTAAAAAATTGAAATTGCTACAAACTAAGTGCTTTTTAGGGAAAAATGTTTGGTAGAAGTGTCTCATGTTCATTCTTTCAAAAGCTGTTAAAAATGAGGGGGGGAGCATTTAATAGCTCATTAAAGGAATATTCTTTGTGTGTGGCTAGGACAGAAATTCAGAGCCTGGTGCAACAAAACATCTCTTTGCCAGCAGTGTTAGAGGAGGAAGATCAGTTAAACCCATCACTGCCACTGTCTGTGCATGCTTCTTTTTGCCAAGCTAGCTGATACTCTATATTTGGAAATATGGCTATGCCATGTAACCAAGCTTATTTATCACTGTATCCGTGTATTCTTTTCATTTTGCTGGACAGTTTCATTAGTTCTGTACAGAATTATCATTTGGATAGAAGGATGAAACATAGACCATAGTTATTGGTGGTCATTCAAATCTATAGGCCCTAATCCAAATTTTATTATAGTCTGTTTCCATACAACTAAATACATTTTATGTTTGTCACATTTGTCATGTGTATTCTGCTAAGGAGCATGTCTTTTCACTGCCTTATTGGTGAACCAGGGTCTCTTTAATTTTTCTTTGAAAGAGTTTTGTGTTTTATTCATCTTCAGTACACATTATCTCTTGTAATTCAGATTTAATTTTAAATTAGAAATGTTCCATGGAAGGATCAGTTTTCTGAAGTTATGTGTTTCCAGGGTGTTAGGACAAATGCTATTAGATTTTTTTATCAAATCCTAAATCTCTTATCACCTGTGAAATCTGAATTTAACTCTCATTATAAAAGTAGTTCCACAAATCAGTTAGACTTATTCTCAACTTCGTAATAAAGGACTGTGTTGTCTCTTATATGGCTTGCTTCAGCATGATGCTATCGTTGCCCTCCCTCATGTCCTGGTAAACCATGTGACAGGGAAGGTCTGTTGCTTAAATACACTGTTCTGTCGACATATGTAAGTGGATTGCAATTCTGTCTGCCCCTAGTCTTGGGCCTGTTTTATGGAGCAATATTTTGTTATCTAAATGAGATCTTTAGGAAGTTCTCTTCCTTGCAAATGCTAGCTATACTGGGATGGTTTTGGAGAAGACTTCTCCACACAAATATGTATGGTGGCAACTCAGTAGAAATTTTTATTTTTGCTGAGCAGCGCACGCGGTTTTGTTGTTTTTTTATTAGATGTAACAATATTTAATAGATCTGAACAACTGATTCTGAGTTTCTTTTTGGGAGGGGTGGGAAGAGGGGTAGTAATGGCTTCCCAGGGAACTGAATAAAAATGTATAGTTGTGATCAAAATGGAGAGTTTCATAAAAGGAAATGTCGTCTTATCACAATATCTCAAGATACCACAGTCCACTGCTTGCTTTTCTGTTACGTGAAGTGGGCTTGCTAGTTTAATTCTGCAGGCAAGATTTTGTTTCCAGACACACATTCTGATGACAAGAAACAAGAGTCTGGACATGACAAATACATTTTCAAAGGAGAAAATGAAAATGTGGGTAGAATTTATATCGTGACCATATATTGGTAACAATCTGTTATAAAAAATGTAACCACTTGTATGAAAACACATTTATCAGGATTATACAGTCAATCCAAAAACATTGTTCACAGAATTTGTTGGTTCTTGTAATAGGTTTGTGGTGTGGTGCCTCAGCACCACAGTCTGAGATGCGTGCTATGTTAGTCCTGACTTAAAACTTGTTTTCTTTTTTGTGGGTTCGGTTTCAGTTTGAATTTACAAAAACTTGCTTTAAAACAAAAATCTTTTCTCCTATGAAATTAATACTCTTGTTTTACTGTACCTTTTTAATTTACCTTTTTTTATCATCACACTGAAGAAGCTGGAGTCTATAATATACTCGGTAATGAATTATATTTTAGTAATGCTTTAAATGCAAATAGATTCTCATTACTGACCATGTTCCCTACTAATATAGCTTCACAGTATATTAATGTACTCTGAGAGGTTAAATTATCCTGTGAATAAGCTGTACGTGGTACCACTTTCTTGTCTTCTTGTGTGAAACAGCTGTGACTGGATACATATATATCTGATCCTTATAACATGCACATGATGTTCTCTACTCCACACTCAAAACAAAACCTGTAGCCAACTGTGTGTTCAAAGCTGCTTTTCCTCTAGTTACAACTTCATCACATCAAAAACCGTAAACTGCCTTGGAAGTTGCCCTTCTGGAACAAGTTTATCCATACACCTCTACACCGATATAACGCTGTCCTCGGGAGCCAAAAAATCTTACCGCGTTATAGGTGAAATCGCGTTATATCAAACTTGCTTTGATCCACCAGAGCACCCCGCCCCCAGGAGCGCTGCTTTACCGCGTTCTATCCGAATTCGTGTTATGTCGGGTCATGTTATATCGGGGTAGAGGTGTATTTAAAATTTGCAGACAGCTGTCTGTCTACAATAGCCCAGTTCCTCTCAAAAATCATCTTAAGAATTAGTAGACCAATGGCTCAGTTATTGTGGTTGTAAAACTGGTCTTAACTGATTGTATTAAGCCACAGATGGACAGCTCTAGCAAATGCACATGTAACCTATACCTGGGGTGCGGCTGCAGTCTTCTCTTTTTTCTCCTCTGGGGGTATGGGCTCACCTATGATGGCGCCCGGTGCCTCCACCCAAAGAAACCCCTCCTGATGAGGAGGACACACAGGAATTGTCCCTGGGGAAAATATTCAGCACCCAGTCTCCTATAGAGGAGTGTCTGTTAGAGCACGATAAAATAGCTGTTACAACTTCCAGAGTAATAAACAGTAACCAGGGCTTTATTAGTTTTGGGGAATTCTGGGTAGGATACAATGGATAGAGGGATTAGAATAATAAAAGACAAAATAAACAATACATAAACTCTACCTCTTCCAACATTTACAGCCAATACATGCCATCCTGTTTTTTTCCAGCACCTGCCTAGGCAAACGATGAGTTTAGGCTCAGTCTTGCTAGCTGGTGCAGCACTGAAATCAGTGGTAGACTTAAAGCACAATATCAAAATAAATAAGGGTGTTTTTACAAAGTATCCACACCAAAGATGGTGGCTCTTTGATCTGGATTCCAATGTGCAGTTAGGCTGGCTCTTGGTGTAGCCTGACCTTGAGTTTCTCCTCAACCTCCTGGGGTTTTTAGTCTTTTCTGTGATGACATTGTTCAGTGTCCCAAAAGGACTCAGCCTTCCCTTGGGAAGGAATGTGGAGAGAGAGAGGTCATCTCTGGTTGTGTAGCTCTCATTCCTGCTACACTCCAAACACAGTCAAATGAAAGTAAACTCAGCCACTTGTATCTGAGTCCTGGCTCATGATTGGTCCCAGTAGTGTTCCTAGCCAGTTCTCCCTCTGCCCTGGACCCTGGGAAGCAGTCCTGAACCACTGTCAGCATTAGTACTGTAGTTTGGGGTGAGTCCCCTAGAGGCTCAGTGTGGTATTTCAGGAGTACCTGCTCCAAAGGGATTACATACATAAATAATAATTTTATTTTTATCTTGAAGTAGAACTTTTAACTTGCTGTTCGTTTTGAATTACTCTTTACTTGGTTGGGCCAATCAAACAGGTATCAACTTAATTCAGAGTAAAATGTAAGTTGTCATGATGGTGTCCATAATATGACACTTGTTTTATCCTTATATTTGTTAAATACACATCATGAATGCTTTTTTCTTATGGACAATGTAGATACTTTTTAATATGCCAAACTGATATGGTGTATTTTTCTATCCCTATATAAGGTATACTTCTGCCGTAGTTATATGCAAAAACTTTAATGAACTTCCCTTCCAGACAGTGCCAAGCTGTCTGTCTTACTATTTGGAGGACCTGGAGGCAACATTTGGCACCTAGTTACCTGTGTGATGATAGATAACTATTAATGCTTTTTTTCTTTTTAAAGCATCTACCAGGAGAGGACCTTGTCTACTCCACATTTTAGTTAATATATTTTGCTGCTTAGTTATGAATTACAGTTTGTCTGTTTTTCCTTTCTAGTTGGAAGATGGGGAAGAAGAGCAGAGTGAAAACTCAGAAGTCAGGTACAGGAGCTACAGCAACAGTTTCTCCAAAAGAAATGTTGAACATAATTAGTGAATTATTACAGAGTAAGTTTAATTTTCTAAACATCTTTGTAGAAAGCAGGAGAGGGGAAAGAATGGGTAAAAAAAGACCTATTTCCCCTTCCCCTAATAGGCAGTTAATTGTATTAGTTAAGTTTCCTGGAGTGTCGCCTTGAGATTTCAATCTCTTATCTACAGCTATATCCCAATTTCAGTTTTACTTTGTGTATATATATAATATTTTGTGCAGTTTGAAGTTTTACTAATGTGCCTGCACATTTAAAAAGTATCAGACCGAAAACCCTACTTAAGCTTACTTGGCCAAAGCATCTTTGTTTAAAATATCTTACTGAATTGTAAACACAGAGGATTATACTGTTCTGATTAACAAATGGAAAATATTTTGAATTAAAGTATAACTTGTGGTATCAGAGCAGTATGGTCACCTGGTAGAGAAACAATGCAACTTGAAATAATTGCATTCTTCATGAACCTTCTCCATTATTCAGCTGTGGTCCTTGGAGCTACAAATAGCCCTAAGCTCTTATAGAAGGATTTTGAGCTCACCAAATGACTTCCATTGGATAGGCTTTGTTTACACTTAAGTATTCCTGGGGGAATTCTGCACCACTGTGCAAATGTAGAATTTTGCAGAAATTAACGGGCATGCAGAATTCCCTTTCCTCCGCAGAAATGGGCTGCAGTGCTGCTAGCCACTACTAGGAGCCGATGGACCCAGCAGAGCCCAGCTTAAACATAGAAGACACTGCTGGGGGGGTGGGGAGGGAGCTAGAGGGTTCCTGGCAACTGCAGTTCCCAGCATGTCCTGAGGGAAGGAGAGGGCAGCACTCAGGAAACTCCATGTGAGCTTGGGACTGAGCATCAGGCTGTTTCTCCCTTTGGATTGTGGGGGGAGGGGTTGGGGAGGGACCACAGTTGGGCTCTGCGGGAGAGACTGTCTGGACTCTGGGGGTGAAGGGGTTCTGGTATTTGGGCAAAGGGGTACCCTGTGGCTGGGCTCAGGGTGGGGAGCTAGGGAGCAGTGATACAACTGGGTTGTCATAGGGGTTTCTTTAACTCTGTACTCGGGGAATTTGTGTGTCTGTATTGTTACAGACATACTTGGTGACAGCTATTTTGAAATAAATTACCAAAATTATTGAAACTGGTGTGATTATGTAGTGTTATTTTGACAAATAAAATTTGCAGAATCTTAAAATATTATGCACAGGATTTTTAATTTTTTGGCGCAGAATGCCCCCAGGAGTAACTAAGAAAGTCAGTTTCACTTTTGCTACTGATGGTATATAGGCTAGTGTAGAAAGAGCTCAGTTTGTTTATCATGGTTATGAAAGACCGCTGGTTTTCATGACATGGCAGTACATCATCTGATCCCTGTCCACAGTAGCTCTCATTGGTAGTGACACTGCAGCTGTGCCATTGTTGAAAAACAGGTCCTGATTTTCCTATTGTTAAATGCACTCAAGTGCTATACCAAGAAAATTAGGATTTGTAGCCACCATTGTTCAGAGTGGTAAAACAATGAAGTGGTTATACCACTTGAGTCCTACAGTATAGCTTGCTTTTGCACTTTCTACTCTACACATTCATTCCTATCACAGATGACTTGTATATCCTGATTTTCGAAGCAGAAATAAGGCCCTGATGCCTTTTTTTTTGGCTATGCTTTGATATTTTGTTCAATCCCGAAGGTCTAGCGTTCTAATCAAGTTGCAAAAGGTAGTTTTTGCTTTGATAAATTTAAGTGTGCATTTCAGTCGCATCCAAAATTGGGAAAATGGCACAAAGTAGTGTTGCTGGGATGGTGGTTGTTGTAGTCCAGAGCAAGAAAATTATTGTTAAATCTCTCTTTCCGCCCGAACTCACATAGTATTTCACAGCATTATATTAACATAAAAAGAACAATAGTAATAGTAAGCTTTATCTTTCACCTGACCCAAGTATTGTTGCTGTTACCTATTTTTGTTACAAGGATCCAGAAGAAACATTCTGGTGATGGTTCTGTCCCTTTAGTTTTTCTTTTTCTTTGTAATTTTTTTTAGCTATTGGATCTTTTTTCTTTCTCAGAGAATAGACAAATGGATCAAAGTGACATATTTTGAGGCAAGTGATATGAGAAATGCATTTCAAAGAATAGGAAATTTATAGTGTTTATACAATACATGTTTTGTCCAATAATGTATCTAGTGAAGGACATTTGGTAGTAAGGTCCAGTTAAAGTTAGCATAAAAGCAAGGCCTTTCTCAAGATGATAAAAGGACTAAATTGTATTAAAATATTCTTATTTTGATATTTTTGGCTTCCAGAATGCAGCAGCCCAACCCCTGGTCCTGGAAAGGAATGGGAAGAATATGTGCAGATTCGAGCTCTTGTTGAGAAAATCCGCAAAAAACAAAAAGGTAATAGAAAAACAGCAAAATTTAGAGCAACTTGTGTATCTGGAATAGCATGTCAGTGAGATCTATACCAAACAACTATGCAGGTGCATGGAAAATCATTCAAATACAGGAGATATTGCTAGTGAAAAGTAACATATTAACAAACTTCATAAAGACAGGAAGTTGAAGTCAAAATGACCTCTGTAAGTAAGTCTTTTTTGTTTCTTGCTTAGGCACTTAAGTGCTAGTAGGGTGTTTTGTTTAACTTAAGTGTCTCTTTGGATTAAAGCAAGAGTTCAGACATTGCTGGAAAGGAAGGAATTTTTTTTTAAAAGAAATAATTCCCTGGACAACATGCTAATGGCAGAATAAGTGTCTTTGTATGACAACAGAAATAATGTCAGTGTGTGACTGGAATTCTATGCCAAAATGACATGTAACTATTTATTGTGTGGGATATTGTAGTAGCTGTTCTCATCTGACATAATCACATAGCTAAAACTATGGTTTTAGCTCCCCCTGAGAGAACATTTGAACTGTAGGGTAGACAAGATTTGGGTAGGCTATTAATTTGCCTCAGCAAGTTTGGCTTTTCCCATTTAATATATGGTCTAGAATGAATTTTCTCTTGATATAATCATCATCTGACCCCGAGCCATGGGAAATAGTTTTATGCACTGACCCGTAAATAGCTTTTTTCACTTGCTGATGCATCTTTTTAAACTTAATATCTGAGATTTATGTATGAACACTGTCTAAAAATAGCCTTATTATGAAGTTAATTCTTACGTTAATAAAATGTCTACAAAAGGGACAAACAAAATTTGTCATAAGCAAAAAAAGCATATTTGTGATTAATAAAATAAAAATACTTTCATCTAAGAATGCAATAGCAAGTTAGAGGTATTATTCCTATTTTATAGACAGGCAAGCTTTGGCACCAAAGGGTTGTGGTTTGCCTAATATCTCAGTGAGACAGTGGTCAGTTTGGGAATAGAGCTCAGCCAGGACGTGTGATTCCAAGCCCCATTGTCTGACATCTAGATCATGGTAGCTCTGCAAAAATTAAAAAATTTTGAGTTGATCATTCTAAATGCGTTGTACCATATTCTAATTTGGAATGTGTTACCAGACATGACAGAGATTGCATTTAGCAGTAATTTTTCATAAATTGTATTTTAACTTTGGGCAAAAAAGCCCCCAAAACAGCCCACCCCAAAATCATTTAATGCAACATTAAAGTCAAGAAATGCAGAAGGTAAGGTTCCTACAGCAATAGTCACTTGATCATCAACCTATTTTCTGTTGTGTGTTTATATTTAAAAAAAAAAAAAATCTAATGGAAAAAAAAAAGTCCTTAAAAATCAGTTTTAATTTAATTTGGGACTACAAACCATATTATGCACTAACTGTAGGAACCTTTCATGACATTACTACTGGGTAGAGTTTAAATTGCTTGAATGCATTAACTTTGCATTTCCATACCTTAACACGTTTGGATGTGTTTGCAGGTTAACCTTTACTCTGAATTTTCTGGTGATTGTTTTCAGATAACTGAAACATTCTTCTAATGTGTTTTACTGTAATCAACTGATCTGTACTCAACTTTAATTCTCTATTAATTTAGTTTTTATCTGGGAATATACTATTAAAATGTTTTATTTAGTTTTGGTATAAATAACCCCCTTTTTTTATGGTGTTCATCGCTGTACCTTTTAGCATTTAGTAGGTATTTTACTTGTAATTCATTTTACAAGAACTACAAGAATAGATACTGACTAATGCATAAAAACCTCACATTGTTAAAAGTATCTTAGGCCTTTGATATTCCCGTTGTCAGGAGGTGATGTTTAAAGATTAAACTGATGCTGTTTGAGTGACTTGATCATGTATTTGGATTGGGATGAACTTCTATTATGTTTCTTCCCTCTCTGACTGACGTTGTTTTCTGGTGTTATGTCCCATTGTCTAGTATTATGTAATAGATACCCTGCCTTATATCCTACCACAATGCATATATACAATAGCAGAGTTAAAGCTGGTCAATGAGTTTCTTGACTCAGAGTTTGAATATTTTACATTGTGTACTTTTTCATTGAAAAATACAGAACCTTTTAACCATAATACTATTGCCCAAATGTATCATATACATGTAATATTATGGATAAATATTACATATATATATTTAGAAACATCACCACCGAAATGCCGCAGCGAGGTGTCCTGTGGGTGCACAAAAATGCCCTGGCGGGCACCATGGCACCCACAGGCACCGCATTGGGAACCGCTGTTCTGGAGTCCTTCTTTTCTTTACAAATGCATTTACCATCAACTCTTATCCAGACTCTGTCTGGATGCAGATGGCTCAGTCATCTTACATAGGGACGTCCAGTACAATTATTCTTTTAGGGATAAAGGAGTGTAATTGTCAGATGCAGGGGATGACGTTGGCTTTGGGATCTTAGGGATTGGATCAGGCAGGAAATAGGTACCAGATGGAGGCAAGAGGTGTGACCAAGTTAATTGCTGGCATCCCCAATAGCCAATGTCTAGTGCATATGAAGGCTAAAATGGCTAGTTCCCAGAGGTAAGTGAGACCTAGGGTTTTGCTGGTGTACCCTGTAGCAGAAGGTGAGTCGTGAAGTCTTCACAAACAGAGGATCCCCTTTGGTATCCTCTTTCCCACTGGGAGAGGGGGTGAGGATTAAGAAGAGAGCTGAATCCTAAGGCTTGCCTGAGGAGGATCTATCCCAAGTTAGTGGTTATATGTTGCGGAACCCTGTAACTCTGCACTGGACCCAAATAAATGCCTGGTATTAAGCAATGACTGGGAGGTGGATGGGCAGGCACACTGCATCCCTATCCAATGTAAAGTTGCAACCTTCCACTTAAATCCATCCATGGGGTCTGTCTACATTCACTTGTATGTCCTGATCAATGCAGTTATCATCAACACTTAGCTTTGGAATGTCTTTACTTTCAGCTCATTTAAATGAAAAAAGGGAAAGAAAATTTTCAGACATTTTCTTTCACAGACTAGTTTGATTTGCCATTTCTAAGGTGACTGGTAAGCAAATGTGGCAATGTTTAGGTTGACTAAAATTGGATATGACTGTAGAACATTACTGAGTTACTTTTAACAAAGACCAGTTCTGATCCAACCTCTTCAAAGGATAGCTGGGGGATAGTTAGGAGTTTTTCCTTTACATGTGGTTTATATTGACCCTCTGTGGCCTGTTAGATCCTCTCATTTCTGTGTTTTTATAAATTGTGCATATAGGTTTGTCTGTTACCTTTGATGGAAAAAGAGAAGACTATTTTCCTGAACTAATGAAATGGGCCACTGAAAATGGAGCATCCACAGAGGGTTTCGAATTAGCAAATTTTGAAGAAGAGGGCTTTGGTTTGAAAGCAACAAGGGAGATAAAGGTGAACGTGTGAACATTTGAACAGATTAGAAAATCATGTCTGTAAATGTATTGGAAATGTGACAGCAGGACATTGAAACCATTCTTTTCTCTCTCTCTCTCCCTCCCTCCCTCCAATGTAAAGTTCACTTCACTGGAACTACTGTTATAAAAATATTGTAAACTATATATACGAGAGATAAAATTTACAATAGAAATTTAGTATTGTTCTTTAACATTGGGCAGTTGTTTGATGGGTTGTGTAAAAGTGCTAATTATGAATCCTTAGTTGGGTTATTTATTCTGCCCAGACAATTTAGCTCACCATTCCTTGTGTCTTTATGCCTCGTTCTACATATTCCCTTCTGCTACTCCCTGTCTACCCCCAGGGTACAAGGCTTTCACTTTTTTTCAAATTCCTTCCTAAAATACACTTTTTTTTTTTCTCATTGCATTAGTTTGCCAAACCAAAGTGGTGCTGTAATATTTATTTGAAGCTGAATTTAAATAAACACTGATTTGTTTTAAATCCATCTTTTGGTCACCTTATACAGTACGTATCAATTGTACTTTTCTCATTCTTATTTTGTAAGCCCATTGGGGTAAAGGTTATCTCTCCTGTATGTTTCCCAACTGTAAAATTGGGATGATAATGCTCTATTATCTTGCAGTGGAGACAATTGTTAATGTGCGTGAGACACTCGGATACTATGCTGAAAAATGCCATAGCAAAGATGCCAAGGAAATTAATATTTCCATATTCATTACAGGATTTAGATGGTGTGTAGTTAATAAAGTAAGGGCTACTAATTGAATGATGAGGATAAAATATTGAACAGCTTCCTCCACCCCATACACTAAAAGAGATAAGGGTCCTGTGATCACATTCTATTTTTCACGTAATTAGAGACTGCATCATAGCACATACGCATGAGGGGGAAGAATTAAGGTGGCGCAGTCATCTTAACTTTGCATACTTCCTAAGTATTGAGTGCTTGACTTTGTAACCTAGATAAATTCATTTTAACATAATATTGTTAAAGTAATATTTATACACGATGTTTTAAATCAAGTAGTGGCTCGACCTATGTTCTTTAAGTCATAATGTAATGTAATATAAAGTAAGAAGTTCTCATAGCATTTCAGTTTACTTGGCAGTGATGGGTGAGGAGTCTTGATTCAAAATAAATTTAGGATTTAAAAAATGACATGAAAACCTTTAATTTTCTTAATTTATTTACATGTATATTTGAGATATTTTAGAGAAACAGGTTTTTTATTTCATGTGAAACAGTAACTACATTTCTGAACTTTCTTGGGTTTTTTGTTTTTTTGTCCCGTCCCCCCACCCCCTGTAGGCAGAAGAGTTGTTTCTTTGGGTTCCTAGAAAGTTGCTGATGACAGTTGAATCAGCTAAAAATTCAGTGTTGGGTAAGAGCAGTTTTTGAGCTTCCTTATTGATGTGTATAATGGGAAGAGTTTCTTTGATACAGCATTACAAATTGACATGGGAATGGAATAGCAGTCTAAACATCAGGTTTTCGGTATCTAGAGTCTTGAAGTATCAGTGACCTGAATTTAATTTCCCTTTTCCATTCCTCCCTCTGCCGCCCTCTCCTCTTTCCCATCTCCTTCCCTGCCCCATGCACCAGGTATCTGCCTGGCTGCGATTCTCACCTGAGAGGGTGGATGCATTTCAGTGGTGATGGAATTCCTGTTGTGTTTTGGTAGTTTCTAATGCATGTGGAGATGGTATGTGCTATAAATGTAAATAGTGAGCTGCTTATGTTTTGATACCTTACTTTGGATTAATCTTTTTTTTTTTTTAACCATACAAAAATGTATCCGAATGTCTTAAAGATACCACGTAGCTGTATGACAGGCACTCAAGATAACCATCTCCTATCTCAGGCAGTGCTGTACACTGGTGACCCCAGACACTTTTATTTGGTACAATACTCATGCACAATTTTTAATTATATTAATTTAAAATACATTTAGTATAACTATTTTCCAGGCAATTAGTTCAGCCATTTACTAATCTTTATGGTTAATTCAGGGTCCTTGTATTCTCAAGACCGAATTCTCCAGGCCATGGGCAATATCACATTGGCATTCCATCTTCTTTGTGAACGAGCCAATCCTAACTCTTTCTGGCTGCCATACATCCAAACTCTCCCCAGTGAATATGATACCCCTCTATATTTTGAAGAAGATGAAGTGCAGTATCTTCAGTCAACTCAGGCCATACATGATGTCTTCAGCCAATATAAAAATACAGCTAGACAGTATGCCTATTTCTACAAAGTCATTCAGGTAAGCAGCTTAAGTTTAATGTATGGAATATATTGCACTTACGGGGTTTTGAGAGGAAAAGGGGTAAAATAATGACATTAAATGATAAAGCAATTTTTTATTGCTGTTAGAAAAACTGAAAATATGAGTCATTAACATACAACTTCTCACTTATGTTTGTCTATTGCTGAGATGTCATATTTTAACAGGTTTGTTAAAATGTAACAGAATTTACAGGGAACAAACAATCATTTTAATTAAAGTAGGAGAAACTTAATTCTACAAGTCTTTCATTTATATCATATATGCACTGCTCCGTAATAGGTTTTCTTTAGAGTAATATAGCTTATTTGATTTTTTTTTAAATACAACTGTGCCCATCTAGTAGCAAAATGGAAATGTGGAGATATTATACAAAAGTTTTTCTATACATTTCTCATCAAATTTCTGAAGTAATCCTTTAATTTAATTTGTCACAAAGTAGCAAATTATTGCTTTGCCATATAGGTATATTCAATATTGTGAGTGTATTGGGCTGTCATTGCCAAGGAAGCACTTGATATCCAGTCATCAAAGCTGCTTATGGCATTATCTGTGTATAAGGAGCACATGAGAGTCCGGGATTTCCAACAGGAGATTGTAGACTAGAGGGCATCTGTTTGGAAGTAGGAGTAGGTTGAAAGATATTGTTAAAACTAAGGAATAGCTTGGTCTTTCAAACAGTTTCTATTAACTACTTTCAGTTAACGGAGGTTAAAAAGTTCTGCTCATGAAGTTCTGCTCTGTTCAAAGAGGTTAGATAGGTTTACTCCCATCAGAATGTCAACTTGCCAACTGCTGTTAGTGCTTAATGCACTTAGAGACAATTTTTGAAAACGCAGTGCTTTGACAGATAGTGTATGGTCATCAAAGGAAATGATACTCCTTTGGAGCTGAGTAGCATCATGGGAGCAGTGCTCTAGCAGAGAATGGTGGGCTCTTGCCTCCTGCCCTTGATTTGGGACAAAATTCACAGAAGGGTACTGAAGTCAACTCCGTGCACTGCGAAACCTCCCACTTCACTACTCATAGCTGGCAATCCACAGCTGCACTGCCAGCGATGCACTTCTGTCGGGGGGATGGCAGGAGTGTTATGAAGGGAGCATATAATGCCACATTAGTCATGCTGAGTAGTATCTTATCTTGCTCGAGTAGTTCTAATGATTTTAAAAGGAATTACTAGCACAGTATGAATATGATTAGCGTTTGGTGGAGTGTAGAGTACAGGCACTACGCATGTATCTATACGCTGCATTGAAAGGTTCTGGCAGTGATGAGGCAGTGAGGAAAAGCTCATATATCCGGGAGTTGCCAAAGCTTTTCCCTGCTGCCTCCCCACTGCTGGAGCCTTTACTGTGGTGGAGAAAGCAGGACACTACACTGCAAAAAATAGCAGTGTAGAAATGAGAGGCACTGTTTGAGCATATAGAGAACTGTGTAGGGTATATACCCGGGGGTTCCGGCATGTAGAGCACTCTACTCACCTAAGCCACATCTCATGGTCTACACTGCTATTTTTACGTGTAATAGCTGGCATGTGCTGTCTGTACTCTACATGTCGCATTAAGTGCAGGCATAGCCTCATTCCCTGATCCTGCAAATACATGTGTGCGTGTGAATTTACTGCCATTACTTAGTCGCACTGATTTCATTGGATTTACTTTTGGGTTTACTCCACAGTAGTAAAGTTAGGCATGTGCATAAGAGTTTGCCGTGATCAGGGTCTTAGTTATTAAAATTAACCTAAGGCCAGTGCAAAAGCCTGGTTTGCTGAGAAAAGTGACTAAACATAATGGACTTGTCTGCACATAGTAAGTTGCAGAATACAATGTTATTATGTAAAGTATAAATAGAACGGTGGGGAGTGCTTGTCTGTTTAAGTTGCAAGTGATTGCTTAAATGTTTTGGCAAGGAAAAGAACATCTAAAGAATTTTTTATAACATTTCAGAGAGATCTCTTCTGTAGCTGTTTGATAAACGTTAACTGAATTATATGATTAGCTTTGTGTTTCTTATGATCTAAGTCAACTTGTGTAAAGGGGAGAGGATGTGGAAACTAGTTCAAGTCATATGAACTTTAGATTAATGTGAATGTCCAGAATTGGCTCTCTAGTTCTGGTAGTCCTTGCTGCACCACATTATGTCCCCAGGTACCTGGAACCTTGCTTCTCATTGATGAGCATTATGATTGCATGGCACCCAAACTGGAATGTTATATCTGTTCAAGTGTGACCATTACAGAATGTCTAACTCAGTTCAATTTTTATCTCCACCCCCCCCCCAACCCCCAAAAAAGAGAATCTATCTGAGATCTTTTATGTGGAACTTCATCTTGCAACAAACTTGTGTTGCAAAAAATAAAAATCCCTGACTTCTAACAGTGATGCGCGCACACAGCAGCCATGTGTCCGATCAAAAACGAGACAAGCCGCGAACAGTCTCAATTTAGATTTAGCTATTGTTTTGATCCAGTATGTATTGAATTTTAAGATTTTATATTTCTTCAGTATTTAAAAATTACCATGAAAATAGTTTTGTAATTAATAAACTGGTTTGTGTTAGGCATTTGCAAACCATGTTGTAAATTGTGCTAGGATAGAAAAATGCCAGAAAAATTCTTTGGGAGAAGAAACTGGTGTGGCTTTCCAGGCAGAATATCTACAATAAATCAATAATTGGTTTTAGAACAGCATTAATCGGGAAATCTCCTGTGGATGATCACATAGACTTCAGTATTCTATGTAGTAATATATTTGTATTTATATAAAGATTGGTGCGCTACTACTTTGATTCAGAAGTGTGGATTTACCTAATAATTCCAACTGTAATACCTTGTGGTGGTAATCAGCCTGATTCTGCTTGGTTTGGGATATGTTAATATTTTAGATGGACTCCATGGAAGTTGTTTATGTGATTCAGTAGATGGCACCCTTCCCTCTGAGTCCACATTAAATCAATACTCCTCCAACAGGATGTTTACTAGTGGAAGTGGTGGTTTTTTGAATTAGTTGTTAAAACCAAGGTCCTGGGCACTTGCGAACATTAAAGATCCCCATGGCCCTTTTGGCAGACATACAGATGTCCTGGCCAGATTCCCTATACCTGAAACTCCTCTGTGGCATGCTTTTCTTCCTGCTTTAATAATTCAGCTGCATTATACAAAACTTTAAGCAGCTGCTGTTTCACCATAAAGTAGACTGCATTTCAGTGGTAGGTGAAGTGATCCCTTTATGCATATATAATTTATATATTAGTTTGTAGCACTTTGGTTTCCTTTGGAAAGAAAAGTGATATATAAATATATGGGGCCAGATTCACTGGTATGTTCCAGTTGCTTTGTGCCACTCAACAACACCAGGCAGCCATAAACCCATTCTAACTGGCCAGTTAAGCTGGATTTACAGGTGTTTTGCATCAGTGGGGTAATACACAACAACCATATCACAATAGTGGATCTGGCCAAGTGTATTTATTAACTTGCATTCAGCAATAATGCACGAGTGAGATTTTCAACTTGTTTGGCACCAAGGGTTCCAAGAGATTCTCTTTATCGGTGTCTTGGATGAAGACTTATGAGTAACTGGTATGGATTTTGCTCTTTGAAAAGAGCTCTAGGTTAACTCTAGTCTTCAGTATGTTAGAGCTGTCAAGTGATTAAAAAAATTAATCGCGATTAATCGCACTGTTAAACAATAATAGAATACCATTTATTTAAATATTTTTTGGTGTTTTCTACATTTTCAAATATATTGATTTCAGTTGCAACACAGAATACAAAATGTACAATGCTCACTTTATATTTATTTTTGATTACAAGTACTTGCACTGTAAAAAACCAAAAAATCATATTTTTCAGTTCACTTAATAAAAGTAGTATAGTGCAATCTGTTTATCATGAAAGTTAAACTTACAAATGTAGAATTATGTACAAAAAAACCTGCATTCAAAAATAAAACAATGTAAAGCTTTAGAGCCTGCAAGTCCACTCAGTCCTACTTGTTCAGCCAGTTGCTCAGACAAACTAGTGTTTACACATTTGCAGGAGGCAATGCTGCCCGCTTCTTGTTTACAATGTCACCTGAAAATGAGAACAGGCGTTCTCATGCCACTGTCGTAGCCGGCATCACAAGATATTGATGTGCCAGATGCGTTAACTATTCATATGTCCCTTCATGCTTCAACCACCATCCCAGAGGACAGGCGTCCAGGCTGATGACGGGTTCTGCTTGATAACAATCCAAAGCAGTACGTGTTCATTTTCATTATCTGACTCAGATGCCACCAGCCGAAGATTGATTTTCTTTTTTGATGGTTCGGGTTCTGTAGTTTCCTCATCGGAGTGTTGCTCTTCTAAGACTTTTGAAAGCATGCTCCACACCTCATCCCTCTCAGATTTTGGAAGGCACTTCAGATTCTTAAACCATGGGTCAAGTGCTGTAGCTGTCTCACATTGGTATCTCAATCTCACATTGGTATCTTCTTTGCATTTTGTCAAATCTGCAGTGAAAGTGTTCTTAAAATGAACAATGTGCTGGCTAATCATCTAAGACTGCTATAACATGAAATATATGCCAGAATGCGGGTAAAACAGAACAGGGGACATACAATTCTCCTCCAAGGAGTTCAGTCACAGATTTAATTAATGCATTATTTTTTTTAACGAGCGTCATCAACGTGTCCTCTGGAATGGTGGCCGAAACATGAAGGGGCATGTGAATGTTTAGCATATCTGGCACATAAATACCTTGCAATGCTGGCTACAAACATGCCATGCAAATATCTGTTCTCACTTTCTGGTGACATTGTAAATCAGAAGAGTACAGCATTATCTTCTGTAAATGTAAACAAACTTGTTTCTCTTAGCGATTAGATGAACAAGAAGTAGGACTGAGTGAACTTGTAGGCTCTGAAGTTTCACATTGTTTTGTTTTTGAGTGCAGTTATGTAACAAAAAAAATCTATATTTATAAGTTGCACTTTCA